TTCTTTCTTTCTTTCTTTCTTTCTTTCTTTCTTTCTTTCTTTCTTTCCTTCCTTCCTTCCTTCCTTCCTTCCTTCCTTCTTTCTTTCTTTCTTTCTTTCTTTCCATCTTTCTTCCACTTTGCTGCTGAGGTTTGAACCCAGGGCCTTGAGTGTGATATGGGACTTGCCCTACTGCTGAGCCACATTCCCAGTCCACCATTCAGGCCCTTGACCCCTCTTAGTTGCTCACTCTCCCCTCCAACCGGTCCTCACCAGCCTGCCTCACTTTCATCCTCACTGAGCTTGTATGGCATTGCCCATCTTTGCTAATTTTTTTGTAGGTTTGCTTTTCAAGATGGGGTTTCTCTCTATAGCTTTAAAGCCTGTCCTGGAACTCGCTCTGTAGACCAGGCTGGCCTCGAACTCACAGAGATCCGCCTACCTCTGCCTCCTGAGTGTTGGGATTAAAGGCATGCACCACCACTGCCCGGCTGACTATTTCTTTAAATTATGTTTATTTGTTGGGGAGGGGATGTGTTGGGGAATGTGTGTGCCATGAGGGCATGCAACATCCGGCTTGCACTTTTATTTCCTCACTTTATTGTTTAGCGAGTATTCACTGAGTACATGCTAGGTGCTAGGAGGGAGCACTGCCTTACCCACAAGTATCTATAGCATGACAAATGCTTCTCGCAGGATGCGTTGGGGGACATGTGGCAATGGCGCACTTGTCAGAGTGAGAAAGAACTTCCCTGGAGGTAGCATCTAACCAGACACCCAGGGAACATGCAGGAATTAGCCACATTCAGGTAAAAACTGGAGAAAGTCTTCTAGAAATGTGAAGATAGTCCAGAGGTCAGAGAGAACATGGAACTGAAGGAAGAGGCAGGAAATATGAAAAATAAGAAGCTGGACGTAATCTATGGTCAGGTTGTTTTATTTATTTTATTTTAACTTTTTTTGTGTGCATTGGTGTGAGGGTGTCAGATCCCCTGGAACTGGAGTTACAGACAGCTGTGAGCTGCCCTGTGGGTGCTAGGAATTGAACCCAGGTCCTCTGGAAGAGCCTCCAGTGCTCTTAATTGCCGAACTATCTCTCGAGCTCCCAGAGTCAGATTATTTTAAAGATATTTATTTATTTATTATGAGTTCAAAACCAGGCCTGGCTTACATAGTAAATGCCAGGACAGCCAGAGGTAGACAGTGAGACACTGTCTCAAAATCTTTTTTACTGTTCATATAGGAGTATTTTTCCTATATGTGCATTACATTTGTGCCTGGCGCTTGACTCCAGAAGAGGTTGGGTCTGCTGGAAGTGGAGTTACAGATGGTTGTAAGCCACTATGCAATTTCTGAGGACGGAACCCAGGTCCTCTGCAAGCATGGACAGTGCTCTTAGCCGCTGAGCCAACTCCTCAGTTCCTTGTGGGTAGATCTTAACTCACCTGTCAAGTTTAAAAGGTTAGATTTTATCCTAAAGGCAACGGGAAACTTTAAGCAAGTGAATTACCCACTTAATATTGTGATTTCGAAAGAGCATGCAGCAGGATGATATGGAGGTGTTGACGGGGTGTTCTCCTCACTCGTCTTTCTCCCCAGGCTCTGGATTCTGCCAACCTGTATCTTCTATGCATAAATATGCACAAGCCTATGCCCCGCCACCACGCTACAAATCTCCTGTCAATCAAATATAAAGCACGCTATTGGGAAGAGAGTCTGCCATTAACAGAGAGCAGGACTCTATAGCACAACTTTCTTTCCTTTCTTTCCTTTTTCTTCCTTTCTTTCTTAGGGACAGAGTTTCTCTGTGTCCTGCCTCTGCCTCCAAGTGCTGGGATTAAAGACATGTGCCACCACTGCCCGGCTATATTACAAAATTTAAACATAAAGCATTTTGCCCCTCAACTTGGAGATGAAATTTGTGCCATAAGACCAAATTGCACAAATGTATAAGTCTGAATTGGTTATTTTCCCTTCAGTGGTGGGAGAATAAATAGTTGATCTGTGTCTTAGTCAGTGTTCTATTGCTGTGAAGAGACACCAAGGCAACCTTATAAAAGAAAGCATTTAATTGGGAGCTTGCTTCAATTTCAGAAGGTTAATCCATTATTATCACGGTGGGGAGCATGCTGGCATGCAGGCAGGCATGGTGTGGAGAGATGGTTGAGAGCTTTACATCCTAATCCCATAGGCCACAGTGGGGGCGGGGAGAAGGAGAGAGAGAGAAAGAGAGAGAAAAGGAGAGAGAGAGAGAGAGAGAGAGAGAGAGAGAGAGAGAGAGAGAGAGGCTACTGGCTGGCTTGGGTTTTTGAAACCTCAAAGCCCACTCTCAGCAATACACCTCTTTCAACAAGGACACGCCTCCTCCAGCAAGGACACGCCTCTTCCTTCCATCAAGACTATACCTGGCCCAGCCGTGGTGGCGCATGCCTTTAATCCCAGCACTCAGGAGGCAGAGGCAGGTGGATCTTTGTGAGTTCGACGCCAGCCTGGTCTACAAGAGCTAATTCCAGGACAGGCACCAGAGCTTCAGAGAAACTTGTCTCAAAAAAACCCAAAACCAACCAAACAAAAAGACTATTACTGGGGCTGGAGAGATGGCTCAGCAGTTAAGAGCATTGCCTGCTCTTCCAAAGGTCCCGAGTTCAATTCCCAGCAACCACATGGTGGCTCACAACCATCTGTAATGAGGTCTGGTGCCCTCTTCTGGCCTGCAGACATACACACAGACAGAATATTGTATACTAAATAAATAAATATTTAAAAAAATAAATAAAAAAGACTATTACCTCCTATCAGTCTACCAGTTCATGACTAAGCGTTCGAATCTATGAGTCAATGAGGGCCACTCTCAGTGTGGAAGGAGATGTGTTAGGGCAGCGGTTCTCAACCCCTTTGGCAAACCTCTACGTCCAAAAATATTTACATTAACATTCATAACAGAAGCAAAATTACAGTTCTGAATTAGCAATGAAAATAACTTTATGGTTGGGGTCACCACAACACGAGGAACTGTATTAAAGGGGAAGGGGAAGGTCGGGAAAAGGAAGGGTTATTCCTAGCTGGATTGCTGGGGTTTCAAGGGATCCAGGCCTTCCTACAGGACAGGAAACTGCTCTGATGAGAGCCAACTGGCTGCACCCAATATTCTAGAGGTTGCCCTGGACCCAACTGTATTAACTGCTTAGACTAATAATAGGTCTCCGTTCCCTCCCCACAAAATACCACAGCCAATCACACATGGGCTTCTAGCTGCTTCCTCATTTCTCTTGGGTAGCTGTCGAAGGAACCCCATAATGCAAGACAGGTGGAACGCAGGTCTAAAATTCCGAATTAGAATATTTATGTACTTTCGATCGACAGACAGATCACAGGAGACACTGGAATGAGTTTAGATGAAAACTAACTTTTCGGCAGGAAAAAGGCCGAGAGTTTAGATTTGGAAATGGAGTTAACTGGGGAGGTGGGAGACGGTGTTCATTTTTGCACAGGTGCTTGTGGAATCTGGCGCCTGCGACTTTCCTAACCCATTACAAACACGGAGCTACCGCACGGGAAGTGGTTGGAAAAGAAGAGGGGAGCGGGGGTTTTGGTGAAGTGTGGTGTGGGTGGTGGTTGAGGAGGAGGCAGCAAGCAAAAGGGCAGAAGAGGTATTTCGGTGGCAGAGGCCTTGGTGTCACAACCGAATGTGAGAGACGATGTAGGCAGAGCCGTCGGGGTGATCCAGGAGTCTACTGCAACCGCAGTAGAGCATAACAACCTTTGCCCTGGAGAGTGTGGGGCGGGGGGGACCTTTGCCTGGGAGAGTGGGGCGGGGGGGGGGGGACGAACAGGTGCGAAGAGGAAATGAGTTCGGCTTGAGTCTGAGATGCCTGGGAAACCTGTAGGAACCTGTAGGGCTAGATATTCAGAGTCACAGATGTTCAGGTCAGAGAAGGAATCGTGGGCCCAAATGTTGCCACAGGTCAAAGAGAAAGGAGGGGAAAGTATCCTTCGAATGTAGCTGTGTGAAGCGCACAGAGTACCTTGAAAGGGACAATGCCGGGGAGCCCGTGGGAGGCGAGCAAGCCGAAACCGTGAGCGTAGAGAATTCTCCAGGAGCGCGGCAGGCAGAGGGAGGAGAGCAGGCTGCGGGTGGAGGGAGCTGGGCTCTCTTGGTCTAGGATGGAAGGAGCTGGTAGAAAAGCAGGTTGAAGACACAGACATAAACGAGAAAGCACAGCAGAAGAGATGGAATCCATGGAGGAAAGGACATGGTGGGAGGGGGAGGGGGGCAGCTGACATCTGGCACAGGATGCATGGCACAGTGACTCTGTGGAGCAGGTCTCCAAGGGTAAAGACCTGAGACACAAAGAGAGGGCACGGTGTACAGAAAGGAGTTGACCCTACCTTCATTCACGGGGCCTGCAGAGAATGTATACAGTGTTCTGTCTGCATGTTTGCCTGCACGCCAGAAGAG